GGGTTTAGGGCTTAGGGTTCCGAGGTGTAGGGCGAAGGGAAAGTTAAGGAACCGATTTGAATGTGCATGTGCACGGTTTCATGCATATAGAACACACGCGAGCAGCTTGAAGCTTCGAGGATTCGAGGTGAGGCTTAGGTTTCAAAGCTAAACCAAAAAGGCCCGAACCCCTGAACCGACCCGGAAAGCCTCAAGGCCCTAAAGCCCAAATCCTAAAGCCTAAACCCTAGAGCCTAAACCCTAAAGCCTAAACCCTAAACCCTGAAGCATACACCCTAAAGCCTAAACCCTAAACCCTAAAGTCTAAACCCTAAACCCTGAAGCCTAGACCGAAAGCACAGACCCTCATAAGTCCCAAAGGACCAATGAGCCTCCACGGCTTCCAACAAAGCCTGCTTCAGGTCCTGGCCGTCTCTGGTGGGCTTTGATCTGTACAATGACTGAGGCATCTACGAAGGGCTAGTATCAGGGCCCCAGAAACCTAAACGCTAAACCCTACACCCCAAACCCTAAACGTCCCTAAACCCCAAAACCCTAAACCAGACAGTTTACTGTAGCCCTATCACCCTAAACCCTCAACACCTATAGCGGTTGAGCTTGAGGCTTCAGGCTTATGCGGCCTCTTTTGTTTACCCGAGCTCTGGGATTTCAGCTTAGGGTCTCGAGCTTCGAGTTTGTGGCTTGGGCATGTCTAGGCCTCACGGCTTCGGCTTAGGTAATACAGGGTTCCTTTAAAGGGCTCCTTACAGGGCTCTATAAGGGCTACGATAAGTTTTTGGAGTTTAGGGGCCTTGATAATTAGAATTGGGTTTGGGGGTATACTATACTCTTAATCATTTCCTGTTCTATTTTTGTGGTTTCTTATTATGATTACAGTATAACCTACCCCAAAACCCTGTTCTAACTATTGAGGCCCCTATGTTAGCGGTTTAGGGAAGAAATGGGGCTTAAGGGGCTTCGGTGGTGTGTTCCTCCAGCCTTCGCGGAATGAAGAACCAGAACATTCTTAATGCTGGTGCTGTTGATCCCTATCGTCAGTTCTTCACTGCGAGACGCTAACATAGGGGCCTTAATAATTACCTATACTATTTTGGGGGTTCCCTATTATCAAATAGTATAGTAGACCCCAAACCCAATTCTGATTATTGAGGCCCCTCAACCCTGAATACTTATGGCAGCCCTTATAGAAACCCTTTAAGGAACCCTTTGAAGGAACTCTATCAAACCCGCTAATCATTAAGGCCCCTAAACCCTAAACCCTGATAGTAGCCCTTACAGAACCTGTTAAGGAACCCTATTCTAATTATTAAAGCCCCTATACCCTTAACCCTTGTAGTAGCCCTTTAGAACCCTTTAAAGGAACCCCAAAAAAGCTCTAAATGTTGAACTCCAAGGGTCCCTGCCACAACTGCAATCAGCCCAACCCTACACCCGACACCCGGAAACTCCGTGACCCAAAGGCTTAGGGTTTATGGTTTATAGGATCTGGAGTTTAGGGTTTAGGGTGTATTGTTTACAGGGTTTAGGGGTTTATGGTTTAGGGGTGAGGGGTGAAGCAAACGCCCAAGACACAAGGATCGACAACCTGAGCTCAGGGTAGGATATAAAGCTGCGAAGCTAAATTACGGAGGCAGCTGAGTCAGTCAAACGAGTCTTCAAGTCCGTCAAACCGAATACATCTAACTACTACACTTACTATACCCTAGACCTCCAGGTACCTTCTATACAGGGCCTGGGGCCCTATCTAGTAGGTACCTGGAGGGTTAGGGATACTTCACAGATAATTTTGGGGTTTCGGGTTTAGAGCTTTGGGTTTAGGGTTACAGAACAACGAAGCCCTTACATTCCACATCCTGTAACACATGCACACACACACACACACCCTAACCCTGAGCCATGAATTCTATACCCCCTGAACCCCACGCAATCGTAGCCACGCAGTGACTTCCTCGAAGAATGTGCGACACTATAAACCACTGAACTTTAGATCCAGGGCTTGGGTAAACCCCGTGCGCAACACCCTAAACTCTACAAGCGCCACAAGTAAGCACCAGAGACGCTGCCTCGTCTGCGCCTTCCGCAGCATTCTCAGCAAGCATCCGTGACAGGACCATGCCTTCAACAAAGTTGGCTCCGGTTGACGGGCTCTTTAAGGAACAATAGGAGGGACCCCTAGAAGGGACCGCTAATCTAAATACCCTATATAACCCTTATATATCCCTTAAGTAGTCTCATAAAGCGCCTATATAACCCCAAGGGTCCCTGTAAGAGTCCCTCTGTTAGTCCCTTGAGCTTTAGGATTCAGAGTGTCGGGCTGACGGTGTCAAGGTTGAGGAGCATGTAAGGTTAAGGTTTAGGGTTTAGGGTTTAGGGTTTAGGGTTTAAGGTTTAGGGTTTAAGGGAAGTTTTGGGTTTCTTGTGCCAGGGTACGACTTAGTTTCGGGTTTGCGGCTGTGCGGTTGATTTGGCTTCGGTTTGGGGTTGAAGGTTTGTTCGCCTTTAAGTCGCTCCGCAAGTTGATTGTCTGACCTCTGCACTTCAATGTTGCGAACGATAGAGACAATGTACGGTTCGGGGTTTAGGGTTTCGGGACCCTAAACCCTAAACTCCTTAACGTGCTTAAGACAATGTACGGTTTACTAAACCGTATACAACACCTTGCCGTCTGAAAAAGCAGACTCATGCCCTCCAAGATGTCACCGATTGCTGTTTGGGATTCACAGGCGTCTATGCCCTACCAAAGCACAAGTTGCAAGACAACAGCAAGATCTGAACGACGTGGCACTTCACAGCGAACCCCTACATCCAAAATCCCGAAAACCCCTAAACCATAAAACCTTAGTCCTCGAGTCGTCTTACATTAACCTTCTTCCTAAAACCTGCAAGCCCAAACCGTTGAAAAAAAAAACGGCAAGAGCGCCAGGTTTCCATGGAAGTTACCTCCAGCCCCCCAAAAGGGTTAGGGTTTAGGGAAATACATAGTAGGTTCTGACACCTTGCCCTAAGGCTCCACGTGGCTATATAGTATATACTTAAGCCGTAAATATCTATATATAGAATCCCCCTTTGAGGCCCAGGTGTATACGATATAGGTACATAGAGCAACAGGCTTAACTACAGGGTATTGCCCTTCTAAACCATTGGCTTTGGATCGCCAGGTAGGTATGCAGGACTACAGGTAGGTCGACACAGGCCTCGGCCTTGCAAAGGAGGCCCTCATAGCGGTTTAGGGTTTAGGGTTTAGCCGAAGGAGCATGTGCCACAGCTTGCGATGCAGTTTGTGTAGAGTAACATACCCTAAACGCTAAACCCTAGCCACAACCCCAAGTCCTAGACCTGCACAGTGCCAGTGGGGTCTTCGGCAAAGTACGTGATAGTATTGCGCCCTGCTCTGTGCTTACATCTACATGTTGTTCTTCACGCCAGTATACCCACTAATTATACCCTAATGATGCCTTGAACGCCAATTCGAAGTGTATGCAGTTGCGATTTATGCGTTGCTCGGGCGGTTTTCAATCTTTCCGGGAGAACCCAAGTACCTGCAAAATCATGTTTGCGACAAAATGCTGGGCTTCCGATGTTCTTTGGAAATTTCTGCGACCCATGGATGCCGCGCTGACTTTCGCCAAGGATATGAAAGCAAATTTCATATTCGAGATTCGAAACCAGCGCCCTCCGGACCTATCCTGGACCTCCCAACTACGCTCCATCCACCGGCAATATTCTATGTAGTTATGTATTTATGTATTTGTATTCACTAGTGAAGAAGGACCATAACGACACTGTTGAGCGGAACTTTCGTGATGTCTGAACCCAAAACCACACAAGTGTCGGGCTCTGGGTCTATGAAGATTCACCTCACCCTCAATCCTAGCTCGAAACATGTTTCGACCAAACCACGCCTGCAAAACAGGGTTCCGGGTTCCGGGTTAATGAAACCCGAAACCGTGAATGTACCACCCCCAAACGAGAGGGACGCTGATAGGAGAACAGAGAACCAATAACTGATTGTGTTATTGCTACAGATAAACCAAACAAGGTTTTGGGGTTAAGTTTAGGGTCATAATGCAACTGCTGCTGCCCTAGTGTCCGCTATACCCGTCCATCGATGATGTTGTCGTTGCAACAAAAACTACTTAGCTCTCCGTCTCGTCTATTTGTCGTCGTATTGTTATACCACTCCCATATGCCCCATAGTAGTTCCTTTTGGGGGTTACCTTATAGGTTGCTGTATATGAACCCCAAAAGGAACTGCTGGCCTATGGGCAGTGTGATTGTCTTCCGGCGCCTGCGAAGAAATGCCGGTTCAAGACAGAGATGTTCGCTGCAAGCAGGTCAGAGCGCCTGGCTCACAAAGAAGGTCAGTCCCTAGAGCTTTCCCTAAGGGTCCATGTACCCAAATAGTATATACTTTGGCCTTAATGTAGTCTCTATACAGGTACTTTAGGGCCGATGTATATGCTATATGAGTACATGGACCCTTAGGGTTAAGGACTGGTTCTTGGATCAACTGCTGTATAGACGGGATCCCTTAGTGGGAAAATCGGGATGTGTTCTTAGTAAACACGAGCTACGCCACAACATGAAACAAACAAAAGGCATTTGTTCATGGAACTTTCATGTCGCCATACGCCCGGACATGCTTGTCATTAGTAGAACAACTGTCTATCTATCAACATGTCTGTCTGTCTGTCTATCTATCTGTCTATGTCTGTCTAACTGTCTGTCTATGTATACAAGGATATAATATAAATACAAATAAGCGAATCAATAAATAAATATAAGTATATATATATATATAGATAGATAGATCTCATATATATATATATATATAAAGATATTTATTTGTACATTGAGACACACATATATGAGTATACTTGTGTATACACATGCATATGATTATGACTTGTATAAATATATGTTCCTAAACAACTGCACAGACAAGCCTGCACACCTTTGCACAGATGCTGGATGAACCCGGTCGGCCGACTGGAACCATACAAGAACCATCAACTTCTACAAATGCAAATCCACAGCGGTATCAGATGTACAATTAGCCAAGGGTTCCTGTCACAAGCCTTTTGCAGCTCCTTCTGCCAAGGGACACAAAGTATTTCAGGGGCCTTGCGAATATGAAGAGGGTTCGGGGCGCATTTTTCTTTTGTTATAATACGGCTGAGCCCTGAACCCTAAACGCTAAACCCTCAGAGATAGTATCCGGGTTCTTCAGGCCTCTCTATTACAGTAGAGGCCAGAAAGTTGGAATCCTCATGTCCTTAGGGTATAGGATACGGATCCTAGCACTCATCTTCCGAAAACCATGTTGCAACTTTCTGGGGTTCACTATCGGGTCCCCCTTTTTGGGGCTTCCAGAGTCTACCCCTAAACCCTAAACCTTTTCTGGGGTTCGGCGTATGCAGAGCAAAAAAGGTCGCCAGCCGGGCTCCACGGTAATGGGAAAGTCGGGGAAGTTCAACAGTCCCGCAAGTGCCAGTCGCTGCTCCTGATATGTATAGTCACCCCCAAAAAGTTGCAAACCGGATTAAAGCCAAATAGTGCTGGGATTCCCAAAACATTATAGTCCTAAGGATTGAGGCTATTGGGTTTCCAACTTTTGGGCTTCTACTGTAGTCATACCCTACGTAAAGGGTCATGGGACGTAGTAACTAAGGTTATTATCAGGGTAACTATACTTATTAGAACTACTTACCACCCCAATTCAAGTACTTATAACCATACTTACTAAGTCCCATGATCCTCCAAGCAGGATGTATGGCTGAGGGTGCAAGGATATATTGTAGGTTAACACGGTTTGGATTTAGGGTTTAGGGTTCAAGGATGTATTGTAGCTTAGTATTCGGGGCTTCGGGTTCAAGGATGTATTGCAGGTTAGGATTTAGGGTTTAGGGTTAAAGGTGGTCAAGGGTCTAAGTGTTCCACTTGCCATGAACCCTAAACCCCTAAACCCTGAACCCTAAACCCCAAACCCTGAACCCTAAACCCAAAGCCATGAACCCTGAACCCTAAACCCTAAACCCTGAGCCTTAAACCCTAAGCCCTCCATTTGCGGGGCGCTTTTTCCTTCGCCTGTGGGTTCGGAAAGCTTTCGTTGACTTGGGGTTGCGGGCTCTTGACACTGTGAGGGTCGGTTTAGGGTTTGGGGTTGAGGGTTTGGAGTTTAGGGTTTCGGGTTTCGGGTTTTGGATTTAGGGTTTGGGGTTTGGGGTGTGGGTTTTAGGGTTTAGGGTTTAGGGTTCAGGGTTTGGGGTTTGGGGTTTAGGGTTTGGGCCGGTTTGGGGTTTAGGAGGTAAGGGCCCTTGAAGGCTTGTAGGATGCTGGCGTTCAACGCGTTGCAAAAGCCTCAGGAGATCTGAGCCCTAAGAACTGGGCATGAAATCCTAAACCGTTCAATCCTTGTTTCCGCGTGCCCTTACCTCGCAGCTTAACCCCAAACACTAAAACCCGAAGCTCGTAAACCCTAAACTCTATAACCTGTACACCTATAAGAATAGCAGACTGCAGCCTAAAGCTTCAATCCCCTATGCTTAAACCTCTGCGCGAACCCCAACACCGACACCCAAACCCCGAGGACCGTTAACTCTAATTCTTAGAACGGCTCCTTATTATATAAGTTGTTATCAATATAGTGTAATTCTGTTGTTGATGATATAAATCTTGCATTACCTTAATTATAAGGACCCTAAACTATGGGAAGCATCCTAAACTATGGGAAGTATGGTAGATTCCTTATTACTAAACCCTATAGGCCTCCAACCGCTGACACCCTACCTATAGTCTCCATGGTAGTTCTTTTCTTTATGTAAATTTTCATTTTAGGATCCTATAAGAGGTTCAATTTTCAAATCAGGATCCTACAAGGTAACTCAAGAAAGCAACTCTATCAAGACTGTAGGTAACCCCGAAACCTCTAGAACTTCCCTAAACCCTAAACCCTAAACCCCAAACTTGATCGGCGATTTTGGAGCCCCTCCTCTGGATTTCGCTCGCCGCCACAGGCTTCCAGTAGAAACTCATGCCTTGCTTGGGTTTAGGGTTTAGGGTTCAGGGTTTAGGGGTTTGGGTTTTGGGATTTAGGCTTAGGGTTTGACTTCTACCGTGCGCTTGGAAAAGTTAGTTGGAAGCTATCAGTTCTCATAAGCAGGGTGGTGAGCACGATAATTTGGACAAAGAGTAGTTGCCACTAGATGTGCCTGCTTATGTTGCACCCAAAATCCTCTAAACTGACCTGTGGCATTTAGGGGTGGGGGCGTGTTGAGGCTGGTGAGATGAGAGCGGCTTGAGGGCTTAGGTCTTTTTAGGGCTTTTGGGGTTAGGAGTTGGGGGTTCAGGGCTTGGGAGCTATAGGGTTTAAAGTTAGGCCTTTGGGAGCTTTGGGTTCAGCTTTGGGGGTTCAGGTCTTCCGTGTTAGGGCTTAGGATTTAGGGTTCAGGGTTTAGGGTTTAGGGTTTAGGGTTTAGGGTTTAGGGTTTAGGGTTTAGGGGTTTAGGGTTTTAGGGTTCAGGATCCCTGAGCTTCAGATTAGATTTGGTCTTTTGATGGCATTGACGATGCCATATATAGTCTGAGCGCTACAAGTGAAGCCTAAGAAATGCAAGCCAATACTCCGAAGCATCCCCAACCTCCTACGGTAGGCCCCCGAAAATAGCCCAAAAGCCTTTCATAGCATGGTCTTTCGGCCCAAAATCAAAACGTCAAGCAGAGCCTTCTAGAGCTAAAGTTTGCCCCGGGACAGTGCGGGAAGGCTAGCGCCCGGTGAGAGCGTCCTCGGCGGCGGAATCGCTCCGCTCGCATGCCCTGCCCTGCGAGTCGAGTGGTTTAGGCTATCCCAAGAGGGTCCATGTACACTACAGTTACCATTCTGGAATTAGCTCCCCAAAGACCATTCTTGTTGTTATGGTTTTGGGGAGCTGATTCCAAAATACCAGTGGTATATAGTATGTATGGACCCTCTTGGTTTGTAGGGTTTTTATGGCTTAGGGTACTGAAAGCATGCTTTGCTGGTTCTTAGCACTGCAAAGGCTCCATGTCGAGAGTTTAAAGTCAAGTTCACCGGAATGTTTACTGAAGTAACCCAAGTTTTAATTTAACCGGTGAAGTGAAGGGAACCCTAAACCCTAAACCGGCAGGGTGTTGCTTCATGGCATCGCGGTGACACGATTTGGGGGGTTGGTTCTCGTTCGTTCACATGTTGAAACGGTGTCGTTGCGTTTAGAATGGTTTGGATTGTTGAATACCCACATGCTGCATTGCAGTTCCTTTTGGGGATTACCTTCTAAGACCCTAAATATAAACCACAAAAAACGACTACAACGGAGCCTATAGTAGGATTCAGGAAGAGACGCGCGTCAGGCTGTTGCTTGTCCGGTTGGAAGCTTTTGGATTGTGAGGATGGTCTCAGAGTTCACCGGGTTTAGATTTTGTTTTGCGGAGGGTATACGATCTGTTTGGCTGCATGGATCACAGCAAGGCTGAAAGCTTGGAAGCCAGGGTTGGCTAAGCAATTTCACGACTCATGGTTGAGGCTGGGCCGGGGCTTTGTGTTCATGGTTCACCTATGTTCCTCTCTTTCTCTCCCTCTCTCTCTCTCTCTCCATCCCTCCCGCTCCTAGTAGGTATGTATATCTATGTATGTACATATATATATATATATAGGCGTCCCGGATCGAGGCACCCGTAGGTAGGTGTCATTGCCGGTAGACCCCAGTGCCGAAATCGGCACGACGCGAAGCCATCCTCCTTCGCCGTCCTGGCACCGCAGACAGCGGTATCACCGTTCGAGAGCTCGGAAATCTATTTGGAAAGCCCGCCGCGAAGGGCGGCCACCCCCACTTCCAGCTCTCCTTCTGCTACAGGCCCACCACACAACTCCGCGCTACCGCGAGTTGTC